TGGAGCAGCGTTAGTCTGGGGCGACGTGGACAACCTCAACGTCTGTGTCAGCTACATCCTCATCAGAGGCCGCCTCCAGATCGGCAGTGAAGACTGCAGGTTCACCAGGAAAACTCACATCAGACTTACAGGTCGGACAACTTATATCAAAAGTCCGATATATCGGTATTATGTCTAAATGCCTGAGACGCATAACATTGAAATCATCAAGTGGTTTATGGACGGAGTGGGCTTGTGAATCACGCTAATTGTACATAGATTGTATTTATGTGAAACAGCTGTAAAGTAAATGTAATGAGAGATTTCCCTTACATAGATTTGTTTCCCATATGCTAGCGGCCGTTGACATGTAAGGTTTCTAGTGGTTAATGTCACTGTATCGTGTCTAAATAGTTATGAACCATAGCATGTCAACTTCGTACATTGTGAAACACGTACTTATCAATGTGAAGGTATCAAGGCATGAGTTTAACACAGAACAGCAAGATCCCCATCATTTCCCTTACCTAGGTGAAAGCAACTCCACGCTGTCTGTTTCTGGCTTTGGGAGGAAGTTTATTGGCGTGGCTGCAGGAGGCACGATTGAGATACATGGAGAAGAGAAGCCATCATGGACGAAGTTGATCCAGACAGCTGAACCAAGCACCTGTGACAACCTCTTTAATTTCCAGGTTAGAACCTGTAGTGTTGAGATATCCATAAAGGCATGTTAAACGTACAGATGAGACGGTGTAGTGTTCAGATACCCGTGACAGCACCGTGAGCAGGTGAGTTGACATAGTGTAGTGTACGTTGTGATACATGAATGATGCATACACGGACATCAAACATTTATTTGTGTTATTTTGCAGAGAAGCCTGTTCCAGGTGGAATCTTCCCGAGGTCTGTATGTGTCTGTGTTTAATGAGGACAGCTCTCTGTGGGACTTTGCCGTGTTCAGGACCGGGGAGGACACCGCTGACGAGGACCTAAAATTTAAGGAATTCATAAAAAGTGAGCACATCTTCGCGACGTGATGTGATTGTTTGGAGGTGAAGTGGTAATTGATTGATGCTGCCAAAAGTATTATTCTATCTGAATGCACGTATGCATGAGGCAAAACCATTGCTCGTCATTGAATTTTGTAGAGTTTTCTTTTCCATATCCGTAATTGACATCAGAAGAGGCTGTTTAACGTTTCAGGTGTTCCCCGAGACAAGATTCTGGCAGTAGCTCTTCAAGGTGAACTTGGAACTGGGGACATGACCGCTGTGTACACAGCACTGGACGCTGCTGGGGGTCTGACGTCATCAGTTATCAGGAACGTCACAGGCAGACAGGCTTACGCCTTTATCACAAGAATCGGTGAGTTGCAACTGAATTCACTGGACCAACTGTTCATATATATGCCAGCGTAGAGATTGCGATCTGGTACAATCGCAAGCTCTACCAGCAGAAGCTCAAATCGAATCCTACTTGTAGACATCGCAATTCTACACTCATGCAAGCAAGTGAATATTAAGAAAAACAAAATATATTTTCATATATTGCAGCTCATTCAGATCTAATTTCTCCACTAGTGATCAGTAATTGTTGGAAAACACTGCTTTCCATACAAGACTCCTATCGCAATCTCTGCTGATTCTACCAGATCGCAGTCTCTGCCCTGACATCTATACCATGTATAAAATACTGCTGAAATGCTTGGACTTTCAATAATAACTGCCACTTTAAATCAGTTATCCATTTCAATTGATGGGTTTGCATTTCAACACCATCATCATTATCATGTACCCATGCATATAAACGTATTGGTCAATGATGCGAGGGAATAGACCTAGATCCTTTCTTTAATCTGCCAGTCTCTTCAAAACACTGCTCCCGCTTATCTCCAAGAGGTGTTTGTCCACTACAAAACCCTCTCGATATCTCAGATCAGCCGATCAACTGCGCTAGACTGTACCGGAATCCAAACTAAAAAACTTTCGGTGCTCGAGCCTTCTCTCATGCAGCTGAACATTTCATTATGGAACTCTCATGCAGCTGAACACTTCATTATGGAACTCTCTCATGCAGCTGAACATTTCATTATTGAACTCTCTCCCATTTAACCCCAAGAGTGCACCTATGCATCTGTGTTTAAATGTTGACTAAAACCACCCCCCTTCCTAACTGTCTTTATTGTCTTCTGTACATATGTAAACATGCTATGATGCTCTTTGAGCATGTCCCTCAGCGATGTGGAACTAGCGGTATATAAATATCCTATCATTATTATTATAAGGTCACAGTGATACAACCATCGAGAGACATGTCATCAACCCACGCCACAAAGACATTGTAGAAACCGGCTACCTGGCTGTCGATGTCAATGGATTCCAGTTCAGTGTGAACAGCAAAGTCTTTTCAAATGCGAACAAAAAGAGAGGTGTCGACTTTCGAGTTCTTCCAGCGGAAACAGCCTACCCATGCCTGAAACTGAACGCTGATGTCTCGGCGTGGAGGCCCGGTGTGTAAACCGTGTTTGTAACTTCGATAATTGTTACTCTCAACCATGTACACATGTGAAGAATATGCCTCTCAGTTTCGCCTGACAACCTTAGGAGACATGTACACATATGAAGAATATGCCCATCTCATTACATCTTAGACAATTAGTTTATCTCAACTCTCATTACATCTTAGACAATTAGTTTATCTCATCTCTCATTACATCTTATACAATCAGTTTATCTCATCTCTCATTACATCTTAGACAATTAGTTTATCTCAACTCTCATTACATCTTAGACAATTAGTTTATCTCATCTCTCATTACATCTTATACAATCAGTTTATCTCATCTCTCATTACATCTTAGACAATTACTTTATCTCATCTCTCATTACATCTTATACAATAAGTTTATCTGATCTCCCATTACATCTTAGACAATTACTTTATCTCATCAATCATTACATCTTATACAATAAGTTTATCTCATCTCTCATTACATCTTAGACAATTAGTTATCTCATCAATCATTACATCTTATACAATTAGTTTATCTCATCTCTCATTACATCTTATACAATTAGTTTATCTCATCAATCATTACATCTTATACAATTAGTTTATCTCATCTCTCATTACATCTTATACAATTAGTTTATCTCATCTCTCATTACATCTTAGACAATTAGTTTATCTCATCTCTCATTACATCTTAGACAATAAGTTTATCTCATCTCTCATTACATCTTATACAATTAGTTTATCTCATCTCTCATTACATCTTATACAATAAGTTTATCTCATCTCTCATTACATCTTATACAATTAGTTTATCTCAACTCTCATTACATCTTAGACAATTACTTTATCTCATCTCTCATTACATCTTATACAATAAGTTTATCTGATCTCCCATTACATCTTAGACAATTACTTTATCTCATCTCTCATTACATCTTATACAATAAGTTTATCTCATCTCTCATTACATCTTATACAATTAGTTTATCTCATCTCTCATTACATCTTAGACAATAAGTTTATCTCATCTCTCATTACATCTTATACAATTAGTTTATCTCATCTCTCATTACATCTTATACAATAAGTTTATCTCATCTCTCATTACATCTTAGACAATTAGTTTATCTCATCTCTCATTACATCTTAGACAATTAGTTTATCTCATCTCTCATTACATCTTATACAATCAGTTTATCTCATCTCTCATTACATCTTATACAATCAGTTTATCTCATCTCTCATTACATCTTATACAATTAGTTTATCTCATCAATCATTACATCTTATACAATTAGTTTATCTCATCTCTCATTACATCTTATACAATTAGTTTATCTCATCTCTCATTACATCTTATACAATTAGTTTATCTCATCTCTCATTACATCTTATACAATTAGTTTATCTCATCTCTCATTACATCTTATACAATTAGTTTATTTCATCTCTCATTACATCTTATACAATAAGTTTATCTCATCTCTCATTACATCTTATACAATTAGTTTATCTCATCTCTCATTGCATCTTATACAATTAGTTTATCTCATCTCTCATTATATCTTATACAATTAGTTTATCTCATCTCTCATTACATCTTATACAATTAGTTTATCTCATCTCTCATTACATCTTATACAATTAGTTTATCTCATCTCTCATTACATCTTAGACAAATAGTTTATTTCATCTCTCATTACATCTTATACAATTAGTTTATCTCATCTCCCATTGCATCTTATACAATTAGTTTATCTCATCTCTCATTGCATCTTATACAATAAGTTTATCTCATCTCTCATTACATCTTATACAATTGGTTCATCTCATCTCTCATTACATCTTATACAATTAGTTTATCTCATCTATCATTACATCTTTTACAATTAGTTTATCTCATATATCATTACATCTTATACAATTGGTTTATCTCATCTCTCATTACATTTTATACAATTAGTTTATCTCATCTCTCATTACATCTTATACAATTAGGTTATCTCATCTCTCATTACATCTTATACAATTAGTTCATCTCATCTCTCATTACATCTTATGCAATTAGTTTATCTCATCTCTCATTACATCTTATACAATTAGTTATCTCATCTCTCATTACATCTTATACAATTAGTTTATCTCATCTCTCATTACATCTTATACAATTAGTTTATCTCATCTCTCATTACATCTTATACAATTAGTTCATCTCATCTCTCATTACATCTTATGCAATTAGTTTATCTCATCTCTCATTACATCTTATACAATTAGTTATCTCATCTCTCATTACATCTTATACAATTGGTTTATCTCATCTCTCATTACATTTTATACAATTAGTTTATCTCATCTATCATTACATCTTATACAATTAGTTTATCTCATATATCATTACATCTTATACAATTAGTTATCTCATCTCTCATTACATCTTATACAATTAGGTTATCTCATATATCATTACATCTTATACAATTAGTTTATCTCATCTCTCATTTCATCTTATACAATAAGTTTATCTCATCTCTAATAACATCGTATGCAATTAGTTTATCTCATCTCTCATTACATCTTATACAATTAGTTTATCTCATCTCTCATAACATCTTATACAATTAGTTTATCTCATCTCTCATTACATCTTATACAATTAGGTTATCTCATCTCTCATTACATCTTATACAATTAGGTTATCTCATATATCATTACATCTTATACAATAAGTTTATCTCATCTCTCATTTCATCTTATACAATAAGTTTATCTCATCTCTCATAACATCGTATGCAATTAGTTTATCTCATCTCTCATTACATCTTATACAATTGGTTCATCTCATCTCTCATTACATCTTATACAATTAGTTTATCTCATCTCTCATTACATCTTATACAATTAGGTTATCTCATCTCTCATTACATCTTATACAATTAGTTCATCTCATCTCTCATTACATCTTATGCAATTAGTTTATCTCATCTCTCATTACATCTTATACAATTAGTTATCTCATCTCTCATTGCATCTTATACAATAAGTTTATCTCATATATCATTACATCTTATACAATTAGTTATCTCATCTCTCATTACATCTTATACAATTAGTTTATCATCTTATACAATTAGTTTATCTCATATATCATTACATCTTATACAATTAGTTTATCTCATATATCATTACATCTTATACAATTAGTTTATCTCATATATCATTACATCTTATACAATTAGTTTATCTCATCTCTCATTGCATCTTATACAATTAGTTATCTCATATATCATTACATCTTATACAATTAGTTTATCTCATATATCATTACATCTTATACAATTAGTTTATCTCATATATCATTACATCTTATACAATTAGTTATCTCATCTCTCATTACATCTTATACAATTAGGTTATCTCATATATCATTACATCTTATACAATTAGTTTATCTCATCTCTCATTTCATCTTATACAATAAGTTTATCTCATCTCTCATAACATCGTATGCAATTAGTTTATCTCATCTCTCATTTCATCTTATACAATAAGTTTATCTCATCTCTCATAACATCGTATACAATTGGTTCATCTCATCTCTCATTACATCTTATACAATTAGTTTATCTCATCTCTCATTACATCTTATACAATTAGTTTATCTCATCTCTCATTACATCTTATACAATTAGTTTATCTCATCTCTCATTACATCTTATACAATTGGTTCATCTCATCTCTCATTACATCTTATACAATTTGTTTATCTCATCTCTCATTACATCTTATACAATTAGTTCATCTCATCTCTCATTACATCTTAGACAATAAGTTCATCCATTCTCCAACTACTGTGCTCCTTTCGTTCTCCCACTACCTAACCTTGTTGTACATCTTGTACAGACCATATTTCCACATTGACTATCTCTTAGTTCTAGTTCAGTTGAAGAATCCAAATGGTGTGAATAAGACTTATTCTTACCTTTCGTATCCTTATCAGGTGATAAGATCGTCCTAGCTTCCACCGACTTTAACTGGAGACAGGCTGAAGAAATGACCATCAAGAGTTGTCCTTCTTGTGCCGTCAACGAGATCTGTCTGACAGGTATGGACAGCTACCTGCCGTGTTGTTGTCAATGCATCTGCGGATTTATAGAGCAACATGTTCCCTGTCTTCAAAGTTTAAAGATTATTACTCTCCCTAAACATCTCGCCAGATGTTGTGAGGTATTGCTTGGACATTGTTTGGCAGTATGCCTATATGCGATTTGAGAACTAAAACCAGTCATTATCCTTCAGAGCCACTGAAATACATGCACTATGGGGAGGTAACTCTTGGTGTGGACGAGAGGGCGGAAGTGGGACTGCTGAGTCGGAACATCCTCATAGAGGGCGTGATACCGGAAGAGGGCTGCAGTATCAACGAGCCGGAAGATCAGTACCTCTGTGACTTGTTTGGATTTGACACATTCGGAGGTCATATCAAGGTGAAAATCATCTTCACATTGGCTTAGATGTAATATCGTATGTGTCTAAAACCAACACAGTACAGCAATAACTATTAATGGTGGACCGTGTTCAACTACTTGCAGAAACAACCGGTTGTACAGCACAATTAATCTCATTCCAGCCTACGAGCAATACAGATTTGGAAACAACAGCATATATAGTCACTTCTAAGAAAGGCTTACAATATCTTTTGTATTTCTTATTTAGATTGTGAAAGGCTTCAAGGCAGCTCGCATTCAAGGCGTTGAACTCTACCACATGGGGCAGCAGAGATTTGTCGGTGAGTGTCCTTATCTCTCCTGAGAGAGTTTCTCGTTGTATACTTTGTATTGCTGCTCAAATCAGCTTTAAACACAAGCTCAGTAGAACTATATTCTCTTCCCCAGGTACCTACCCTCTTCACTTCCACATGTGCGACGACGTGGACGGCAACTGGTTCCGTCACAACTCCATCCACCACTCCTTGACGAGATGCGTCACTGTCCACGGCTCCGATGGCGCTGAGGTTCTCGCACTTTCTTTCTGAAATCCGTTGTTTTTGAAGGGATACTATCTATATATTGGTCCGCCAGATGGCGCTTTACAAATTGTCACAACTACATTCAAACAAAACCAAGTGTTTCACAACATGTAAAAGTACACACATTGGACACTACATGTCTCACATCTTATCACTACGCGTACTCACCAATACATGCCTCCTGACACACACATCTAACACACCCATACATCTCCGGACGTATATATAGGTCTCGTGACACACACATCTAACACACCCATACATCTCCGGACGTATATATAGGTCTCCTGACACACACATCTAACAAACCCATACATCTCCGGACGTATATATAGGTCTCCTGACACACACATGTAACAAACCCATACATCTCCGGACGTATATATAGGTCTCCTGACACACATCTAACAAACCCATACATCTCCGGACGTATATATAGGTCTCCTGACACACTCATCTAACAAACCCATACGTCTTCGGACGTATATATAGGTCTCCTGACACACTCATCTAACAAACCCATACATCTCCGGACGTATATATAGGTCTCCTGACACACTCATCTAACAAACCCATACGTCTTCGGACGTATATATAGGTCTCCTGACACACACATCTAACAAACCCATACATCTCCGGACGTATATATAGGTCTCCTGACACACACATCTAACAAACCCATACATCTCCGGACGTAAATATAGGTCTCCTGACACACACATCTAACACACTCATACATCTCCGGACGTATATATAGGTCTCCTGACACACACATCTAACACACCCATACATCTCCGGACGTATATATAGGTCTCCTGACACACACATCTAACAAACCCATACATCTCCGGACGTATATATAGGTCTCCTGACAAACATGTAACAAACCCATACATCTCCGGACGTATATATAGGTCTCCTGACATACACATCTAACACACCCATACATCTCCGGACGTATATATAGGTCTCCTGACACACACATCTAACACACCCATATATCTCCGGACGTATATATAGGTCTCCTGACACACACATCTAACACACCCATACATCTCCGGACGTATATATAGGTCTCCTGACACACACAACTAACACACCCATACATCTCCGGACGTATATATAGGTCTCCTGACACACAAATCTAACAAACCCATACGTCTTCGGACGTATATAAAGGTCTCCTGACACACACATCTAACAAACCCATACGTCTTCGGACGTATATATAGGTCTCCTGACACACACATCTAACACACCCATACATCTCCGGACGTATATATAGGTCTCCTGACACACACATCTAACACACCCATACATCTCCGGACGTATATATAGGTCTCCTGACACACACATGTAACACACCCATACGTCTCTGGACGTATATATAGGTCTCCTGACACACACATCTAACAAACCCATACATCTCCGGACGTATATATAGGTCTCCTGACACACACATCTAACACACCCATACATCTCCGGACGTATATATAGGTCTCCTGACACACACATGTAACAAACCCATACATCTCCGGACGTATATATAGGTCTCCTGACACACATCTAACACACCCATACAATTCTGGACGTATTTAATATATGTCAGTTCACACCAGCTAGGGCGTACATGTCATCTCTTTTTTCTCCCAAAGCAAGGTCGTCTAACAGCAGTAGTAATAGTTTTTTTTGTGTTTTTGGACCGCTGTGTCACCAAAAGGTTTACTACAGCCGCCTAACTTCTCACATCGTATGATTTCTCTGTCTCGCTCACCAGGTGTCTCACAATGTGTGCTATCTCCACCACGGCCACGGCTTCTTCCTGGAGGACAGCGCAGAGCAGAGGAACGTCTTCGACAGCAACCTTTGTATCGGCACCATGCACGGCACCCACATCATGTCCGACATGAAGAAGGAATGGTGCAATTCCACCATGAAGGAATTCTGCGAGTAAGGACAATGGGTTTTGGCTTAGGACAGCGTAGGAGTGTGATTGGAAGTGATCATTTAATCGTGTATCATTCAAGACAATATTAATGGTGTTATTATTTGAACGTGAGTTTGGTGTTAAGCGTGTTTTGATTATCGGTATTTTATTTCTTGTGCTGGCAGCGCCCTCTCCTCCTACTGGATCACTCACCCTAACAACACCTTCATCAACAACGTGGCCGCCGGCTCAGATGTAAGTTAGTTGTACAGTAGAATTACACGTCTTATAAAGCTGATGGATGGATTGGAAACTGGCCGACCTCTAACATGGTTGTACACGGCACAATGAATTACACATCAAGTTATATCTCCCCTTATAACGAAATTAGAACCAGTAACCATTGTGAACTAAGAAGCATGATTGTAATGTAAAACATAATTATTGGGTTGGTTTGTTACAGTATGAAATAATGGATTTATGAATTTTTCATTCATTCATATGATAGACAATTAGATAGTATCAGTGATTGTTTATCAGAATGCAGGATTTTGGATCCTTGGGTCTCGTCTCCCCCTCGGCCCCTCCCGACAACGCCAGCTGGAGAGGGGGTTGGTGCCAGAGTTCCATGCCATGCAGACAAAGATCAAAGAATTCAGAAACAACACGGCTCACTCAAATGTGGATGTACGTTCCAAATCATTTCATATTATATTATGTGTAATATAATGATTGTTGAAAGTGGATAAAACTATTCGACAATTAACGACAACCAGGACATATATTGTTAGCAGTAAGCTAGTCCATTCAGCTGCGACCGCCGTCATATAGCTGGAACATTGCTGCGTGCGCCGTAAAACTAAACTCACTCACTCCCATTCAGTTGTGAAATGAAAAGGTAATTCAGTTATGCCCTCAAAACAACGGTATTTCAGTTGTCATCAATGTAACGGTAATTCAGTTGACATCAATGTGACGGTAATTCAGTTGTCATCAATGTGACGGTAATATAGTCGTTATCAATGTAACGGTAATTTAGTTGTTATCAAGGTAACAGCAGTTCAGTTGTAATCAATGTAATAGCAATTCAGTTGTTATGATGAGCGAGAAACAGGCCCGCATCCAGCAGCTTGTAGGCCGTTTCCATTTACCAGCGAGCAAGGGTATGGTAAGGCGTTCTCGAACCAAGGGAACCTGTATGTACTGGAACTCAGAGGCATCGCTGTGTGTCGGATCGACACCCTTGAGACGCCATAGGCTACTGGGGAACCCCGCGTTCAACACGGTTCACGTCAAGTGTACATTGTTTTCTTAATACTTTCTCAAATGCTCTTTACAAAAAGTGTATGAAAGAAGAAATTAATGATAACCTATGACACGTTATTTGAAGATTCACTCTATTCCAACAGAGAGGCCTCCGGATTGACAAACGCATTTCTCACGGACAATACAAGAACAAAGTATATGTCCCAGAGAATGGCGTTCTTGGTGCCAAGGTGTCTCACACACCTATGACTTCCCCATCAAAAACTGGAGGGCAGTTTGATAAGTCCTACCTATATGGGTAAGTGCTCGTTTCTTTCCAATAAACTGCATCATGTTTGTGTAGGACAAATGGTATAGTGTTATCGATACTGTTCTGTATCCTATAAAGCGACAAAACCCTTTTCATAAGTATATGAAACCTGTGTGAAACCCAGAGTACAGTGTACGACTACATCTTGAGCATGCATCCATTCAGACATTTTAGCATTTTGCCATAAATACATATAAGACCATAAGTTCATTCAAAGCATACTGTATATGTGAACTGTTGGCTTATTATTGGTGGCTTACTCTTCAATACAGATTTACAGCCTACAAAAACGGAGGCACAAATGTCTGGACTAAAGCTGGGATCGTCATTATGAGTAATTTCACGTTAGTATTGACCGAATCTCAGTAATTCTCTTCAGATACAAACTAAACACTCCAGTAATAGAATATCATATTACACTACCTGATCATGTTTATTGATACATAAATGTACTGATGAAATCAATAAACTGTCTTTACATCCATGTGTAAACCTCAAGGTATGAGCTATTACAATGTTGATACTGTTAGTATATTGTGAGAATATTTCCACGACTTGATCGTCATTTTAATATACTATGAGTAAAACGTTAGAGGCATATATATCTTTATCTCCATTAATGGTGGGCAATCTACATCTTCAGGCTGGCCGATGCTATGCAGGGTATCACCATGGCGTCGGCTGATACAGGGACATATGCCAAGCTGACCAACTCCATGCTGGTGGGCGAGACAGATAACTTGGGTGTTTCGCAGGAACCATTCGGACGTTCCAGATCTGGCATAGCGTATGTTGAAAGTTCCTGAATATTATGTCTCGAACCTTGCGATCAAAGGTTTGTTCAACAAGCCAGCTTGGCTGAACATATTGTCATTATCAGATGAAAGAAAGTACTAATATGCATTTTTCTCTACACTTTGGTGCCTTGCTTGTCGTTGTGTTGAAAGCCGGACTTGAGGCTAGTTCCCATGTGGACGCCCTCGAGAAAAATGCTTTGACTTGCTGATTCTCACTCGCTTGCTCTCAACCCACGTGGATTTCAGGGTAGAATCGCCCCCAAACAACCTATGCTTGTTGTCAAAGTCGACTAAAATGGACGTGACTGCTCCGATGGAGTAGGTCGCTGTTCATTATTTCCTTCACTTGTTTGTCTCATGAAAACTTGTAGCTGAAATATTGCTGAGTACGTGATTAAACAAAATTCATTCTTGCAATAGTCTGCGTTCAGTTTGGCATTTTTCTGAAGCTGGAATGATATTGTCTTTGAACTTTACCTCCAGGGAGGAACCGCTTCAGGGAGTTGTCTTCTACCAGGGTCCAGGCCACGTGACCAATACCTTCTTTAACAAATATGAGACGAAGACGTCAGGGTCAGTGACCAGATACGCAGGGGCCGTCAGCGTGAAGCGCAGCAACCCCTACCCCCCTAAAGCCAGCAGCCATGTTGAGGGGATCAAGTTCGGCTTCTGTGACATGGTGTGTTCTCCATCTGCTATGTTATACCTTCCTAGTGTTTACAACATTGTGTTGTAGTTGTGTCTGTGGTCTAGTCAGTGGAGGCAGCTGGTCTGAGATCTCGGTCTGTTGTGGTGTTGCGCCACCAGTACTACGTAAATGTTCTGTGGTGTGTAATGTATCTCTGTGTAAACTGGGATCAAGCTGGTGTGTGTTGTGTGATACCATGTCATGATAAGAGCTGTCGTGTGGGACCATATCACGATATATATCTGTTATGGGGCACCATGTCACGATATAGATATGTTATGGGTGCCATGTCACGGTATAAACCTGGTACTGGGGACCATGTCACGGTATAGATCTGTTACGAGGAACCATGTCACGGTATAGATCTGTTACGGGGAACCCTGTCACGGTATAGATCTGTTACCATGTCCATGTGACGATATACAGCTGTTACGTGGGGCCAAGTTACGGTATAGACCTGTTATGGGGGCCATGTCATGATATAAAGCTGTTACTGGGGACCATGTCACGATATGGAGCTGTTACGGGGGACCATGTCATGATATAGAGCTGTTACTGGGGACCATGTCACGATGTAGAGATGTTATGGGGGGCCATGTCATGGTATATAGCTGTTACTGGGGACCATGTCACGATGTAGAGATGTTATGGGGGGCCATGCCATGGTATACAGCTGTTACTGGGGACCATGTCACGATGTAGAGATGCTATGGGGGGGCCATGTCATGGTATACAGCTGTTACGGGGACCATGTCACGATGTAGAGATGTTATGGGGGCATGCCATGGTATACAGCTGTTACTGGGGACCATGTCACGATGTAGAGATGCTATGGGGGGGCCATGTCGTGGTATACAGCTGTTACGGGGACCATGTCACGATGTAGAGATGTTATGGGGGGGGGGCCATGCCATGGTATACAGCTGTTACGGGGACCATGTCACGATGTAGAGATGTTATGGGGGACCATGTCATGGTATACAGCTGTTCCGTTGTTTACTCCAGATAGAGGGGAACTGGGCGTATAAGGGAGACCCATCTGTTCCGCTTATGAGGAACAGGGACGGCAACAGACAGATCACCTTCCGAGACATCGACGGCAGCGTCTCCGGGACTGCGGGGACCCAGTTCGTGCCGAACACACGTTTCCACACCACTAACCAGTGTGACTATAGGCCGGTCTCGAACTTCGCAGTGTGTCCCCATGACTACGCTAAGGTATCAGTTTTGTACAGTCGCTTACAATCTTTGTCTTAACACTTTGTCTGTATGAGTTTTCTATTGTTAGTGTTATAACTAACCCTTTTATCTACCTTTTATCGAGTTACTTTCACGTGAATATGCCCTACTATTGAAATGTACCTTGAATTTGTCAATATACTTACGAATTGTTCTGTTACAGACTAATATCCGATTTATATGCACGTTCATATTTGCTCGTTATGATTCTAATTTTGTTTTGAGCGTTACATGAGTGTTATTCCATGTCGTGTATTCCAGGCTGTCTTTAGTGGCGACGGAGCCCTTAAAACATTGAAGTCCAACTATCCACTGTACATGCGCCGGGACGACCGACCTGTTGATGCGTTTGCCTTGAAAGGTAGTGTTGGGTGCGATCCCGATGTAAGCAACATACAGTGAATCTGTTTCATATAGATACTGTTTACCTGTATCACTGGCGACACAGACATTATAGTTGACTATTGACGTTTCATCAAAGTAATGTTGCTTTGAAGAAGCTTTGTAAAATTATAAGCCTTGTGTAGCATATGATAGTCATTCTTGGTGTGAGTATGAGGAATATTTAAAAGCGGCGTAAAACCGGCCTTGTGGGAACTGCAGTGATCCAACTATGGCTCCGGCCGTTTGAGCCTATACATAGTCCCGTATAATATGACACATCTTCCTTTCATCGCCACTATACGGCTGAAATACTACCTGGTAATTTTCATCTCACCCACTCACTCACTCTCTCACCCCTCGTTCTTTCATCATAATTCAACTTTCCTTTAATTGCTATAGACGGACGATTTCGAAACGTATGCCTAAGATCTGTACATGTATTCATTTTCAACATGTACATTTCAAACTTAGGCACCAAGGGAAATGCCTACCTGGTCATCAAGAAGAAATCCTATACGGTCTATTTCAACGGAACTGCTCCGACAAGGCTGAAGGTCGCAGGACATAATTTGGAAAGGTAGGTCGGTCAGAAATACAACATATCAGACCTAGTCATTGGTACAACACCAGGACATATAACTGTAACTTTGATCAGACCTAGTCATTGGTACAACACCAGGACATATAACTGTAACTCTGATCAGACCTAGTCATTGGTACAACACCAGGACATATAACTGTAACTTTGATCAGACCTAGTCATTGGTACAACACCAGAACATAAAACTGTAACTTTGATCCGACCTAGTCATTGGTACAACACCAGAACATAAAACTGTAACTTTGATCAGACCTAGTCATTGGTACAACACCAGAACATAAAACTGTAACTTTGATCAGACCTAGTCATTGGTACAACACCAGAACATATAGCTGTAACTTTGATCAGACCTAGTCATTGGTACAACACCAGAACATAAAACTGTACCTCTGATCAGACCTAGTCATTGGTACAACACCAGGACATATAACTGTAACTCTGATCAGACCTAGTCATTGGTACAACACCAGGACATATAACTGTAACTTTGATCAGACCTAGTCATTGGTACAACACCAGGACATAAAACTGTAACTTTGATCAGACCTAGTCATTGGTACAACACCAGGACATAAAACTGTAACTTTGATCAGACCTAGTCATTGGTACAACACCAGAACATATAACTGTAACTCTGATCAGACCTAGTCATTGGTACAACACCAGGACATATAACTGTAACTCTGATCAGACCTAGTCATTGGTACAACACCAGAACATAAAACTGTAACTTTGATCAGACCTAGTCATTGGTACAACACCAGGACATATAACTGTAACTCTGATCAGACTTAGTCATTGGTACAACATCAGGACATATAGCTGTAACTCTGATCAGACCTAGTCATTGGTACAACATCAGGACATATAACTGTACCTCTGATCAGACCTAGTCATTGGTACAACACCAGAACATATAACTGTACCTCTGATCAGACCTACTAGTCATTGGTACAACACCAGGACATATAACTGTAACTCTGATCAGACCTAGTCATTGGTACAACACCAGGACATATAACTGTAACTTTGATCAGACCTAGTCATTGGTACAACACCAGAACATAAAACTGTAACTTTGATCCGACCTAGTCATTGGTACAACACCAGAACATATAACTGTAACTTTGATCAGACCTAGTCATTGGTACAACAACAGGACACATAACTGTAACTCTGATCAGACATAGTCATTGGTAAAACACCAGGACATATAACTGTACCTCTGATCAGACCTAGTCATTGGTACAACACCAGGACATATAACTGTAACTTTGATCAGACCTAGTCACTGGTACAACACCAGGACATATAACTGTAACTTTGATCAGACCTAGTCATTGGTACAACACCAGGACATATAGCTGTAACTCTGATCAGACCTAGTCATTGGTACAACACCAGGACATATAACTCTAACTTTGATCAGACCTAGTCATTGGTACAACACCAGGACACATAACTGTAACTTTGATCAGACCTAGTCATTGGTACAACACCAGGACATATAACTGTAATTTTGATCAGACCTAGTCATTGGTACAACACCAGGACATATAACTGTAACTTTGATCAGACCTAGTCATTGGTACAACACCAGGACATATAACTGTAACTTTGATCAGACCTAGTCATTGGTACAACACCAGAACATAAAACTGTAACTTTGATCAGACCTAGTCATTGGTACAACACCAGAACATATAACTGTAACTCTGATCAGACCTAGTCATTCGTACAACATCAGGACATATAACTGTCACTCTGATCAGACATAGTCATTGGTAAAACACCAGAACATATAACTGTAACTCTGATCAGACCTAGTCATTGGTACAACATCAGGACATATAACTGTAACTCTGATCAGACCTAGTCATTGGTACAACACCAGAACATATAACTGTAACTCTGATCAGACCTAGTCATTGGTACAACACCAGAACATAAAACTGTAACTTTGATCAGACCTAGTCATTGGTACAACACCAGGACATATAACTGTAACTCTGATCAGACTTAGTCATTGGTACAACATCAGGACATATAGCTGTAACTCTGATCAGACCTAGTCATTGGTACAACATCAGGACATATAACTGTACCTCTGATCAGACCTAGTCATTGGTACAACACCAGAACATATAACTGTACCTCTGATCAGACCTACTAGTCATTGGTACAACACCAGGACATATAACTGTAACTCTGATCAGACCTAGTCATTGGTACAACACCAGGACATATAACTGTAACTTTGATCAGACCTAGTCATTGGTACAACACCAGAAAATAAAACTGTAACTTTGATCCGACCTAGTCATTGGTACAACACCAGAACATATAACTGTAACTTTGATCAGACCTAGTCATTGGTACAACAACAGGACACATAACTGTAACTCTGATCAGACATAGTCATTGGTAAAACACCAGGACATTTAACTGTACCTCTGATCAGACCTAGTCATTGGTACAACACCAGGACATATAACTGTAACTTTGATCAGACCTAGTCACTGGTACAACACCAGGACATATAACTGTAACTCTGATCAGACATAGTCATTGGTAAAACACCAGGACATATAACTGTAACTTTGATCAGACCTAGTCATTGGTACAACACCAGGACATATAACTGTAACTTTGATCAGACCTAGTCATTGGTACAACAACAGGACATGTAACTGTACCTCTGATCAGACCTAGTCATTGGTACAACATCAGGACATATAACTGTAACTTTGATCAGACCTAGTCATTGGTACAACACCAGGACATATAACTGTAACTCTGATCAGACTTAGTCATTGGTACAACATCAGGACATATAGCTGTAACTCTGACCAGACCTAGTCATTGGTACAACACCAGGACATATAACTATACCTCTGATCAGACTTAGTCATTGGTACAACATCAGGACATATAACTGTAACTCTGATTAGACCTAGTCATTGGTAAAACACCAGGACATATAACTGTAACTTTGATCAGACCTAGTCATTGGTACAACAACAGGACATGTAACTGTTCCTCTGATCAGACCTAGTCATTGGTACAACATCAGGACATATAACTGAAACTTTGATCAGACCTAGTCATTGGTACAACACCAGAACATATAACTGTAACTCTGATCAGACCTACTAGTCATTGGTACAACATCAGGACATATAAATGTACCTCTGATCAGACCTAGTCTTTGGTACAACATCAGGACATATAACTGTAACTCTGATCAGACATAGGCATTGGTAAAACACCAGAACATATAACTGTAACTCTGATCAGACCTAGTCATTGGTACAACATCAGGACATATAACTGTAACTCTGATCAGACCTAGTCATTGGTACAACACCACCAAGACATATAACTGTAACTTTGATCAGACCTAGTCATTGGTACAACACCAGAACATAAAACTGTAACTTTGATCAGACCTAGTCATTGGTACAACACCAGGACATATAACTGTAACTCTGATCAGACTTAGTCATTGGTACAACATCAGGACATATAGCTGTAACTCTGATCAGACCTAGTCATTGGTACAACACCAGGACATATAACTGTACCTCTGATCAGACCTAGTCATTGGTACAACACCAGGACATATAACTGTTACTTTGATCAGACCTAGTCATTGGTACAACACCAGGACATATAACTGTAACTCTGATCAGACTTAGTCATTTGTACAACATCAGGACATATAGCTGTAACTCTGATCAGACCTAGTCATTGGTACAACACCAGGACATATAACTGTACCTCTGATCAGACCTAGTCATTGGTACAACACCAGGACATATAACTGTAACTTTGATCAGACCTAGTCATTGGTACAACACCAGGACATATAGCTGTAACTCTGATCAGACCTAGTCATTGGTACAACACCAGGACACATCTCTGTAACTTTGATCAGACCTAGTCATTGGTACAACACCAGGACATATAGCTGTAACTTTGATCAGACCTAGTCATTGGTACAATACCAGGACATATAGCTGTAACTCTGATCAGACCTAGTCATTGGTACAACACCAGGACACATCACTGTAATTTTGATCAGACCTAGTCATTGGTACAACACCAGGACATATAGCTGTAACTTTGATCAGACCTAGTCATTGGTACAATACCAGGACATATAGCTGTAACTCTTGATCAGACCTAGTCATTGGTACAACACCAGGACATATAACTGTAACTGGACATATAATTCAGACAACAATGTTAACACTTGGCTGTGACAGCTGACTGTGTGGTAAGTCGACAAAACATGCCTCATCGCGGAATTGCTTTAGATCTTGGGAGACCTGCAGAAGAAAATTATATGTTTAGAAGATGCGAGTTCGCTGGAGAATCTGCTTGTAGCTGCATGTAGCTGAGTGAATAGGTTCGCACGTTTGGATTGAAGAATCATGAATTTTGCGATTGTTCTGTGTTGTAGTGGTGACTATGTCAGACTTGGACTGTGCTACCCTAAAGACGTGACCAGCTTCAGCTTCTCCAGTGGACTTCCTATGATAGGGTCATCTACTCCTGCTTTCAAAGTCAGCAGCATCAGTGACCTGGACAGCGACACCACCGGGAGGGCCTACTTCTGGGACAAGGCTACAGGGTGGGTATGTTAGCACCCACGGGAGTCGGCTATTTCACTCCCCTTGAAGGGTTCGCACCAATGACACAACACGTCAGGTTTGGATCATGCGCCATTTAATACACCCCAGCATCCCTAGCTACATCCGGCTCCGTACACCGACATACTTTCACCGATACTGCACAGAGTATGGTTAACAGGTACAGGGGGTTCAGGTACAGAGTATTACAGGGCCAGGTCTCACTGAGGAGACTGTGTCCACGCAGGGGTATAGGTGCTGTACAGTATTACAGGGCCAGGTCTCACTGAGGAGAAGGTGTCCACAGAAAGATTTAGATGCTGCAGAGTATAACAGGGCCAGGTCTCACTGAGGAGAAGGTGTCCACAGAGGGGTATAGGTGCTGTACAGTATTACAGGGCCAGGTCTCACTGAGGAGAAGGTGTCCACAGAAAGATTTAGATGCTGCAGTGTATTACAGGGCCAGGTCTCACTGAGGAGAAGGTGTCCACAGAAAGATTTAGATGCTGCAGAGTATTACAGGGCCAGGTCTCACTGAGGAGAAGGTGTCCACAGAAAGATTTAGATGCTGCAGAGTATTACAGGGCCAGGTCTCACTGAGGAGAAGGTGTCCACAGAAAGATTTAAATGCTGCAGAGTATTACAGGTTTTCAGTTTTCGGTACTGAATGCACTCGATTAATGATTGTTTGATCATTATAGCATAAATGCTTGTATTCGGAGAGAATGTTTTGTCAATGTCATTTTAAAATGTAATACATATGTTTTCACTTAGCAAGGGCATAAAGAATTCTAAAGCATTTAGAGGAAACGAGTGAAATTAAACCATTGCAATACGTTTCTTTTGACACTGGTAGATACATGTCAGCACTGATGTGATACGTAATATTTCTTTCTCATAATATTTAACAAATCCTCTATAATTATTAGGATCATTAACGCTACCCCTTTAAAAAAATGGTATGCACAAGCCAATAGTCCAACTCGAAGGTAATTACTATGTGCACAATAAATAAATAAACATTCTGGGAGTACTGTCGTGTCACGAGAAAGGTTATCACAAGGTAACATTGTACAAACCTGCCCAAATATTGCCCCATTTTAAGTCATGACACTTTTGTAAACTGTTTCTCTTGTCAATTTCTTTGTTAACCCTCAACATGCTGTAAGACTCTTATCATCTATAACACATACCATGGTGGTCATGACATGGTATCGCACCGCATATTGTTTAATATACTGATACAGAGACATTCATATGTAATCCAGTATTATTAAAACCACTGGCAATATCGTCCATGTGGATACTAAAATGTTTACATAGTTCTATCCCTGATATTCCATTGCAATTTACAACACGGTCTCCTGCGCTGGGGATCAGCTGGTTTTGACATCAAGGCCTTTGTTAGTGGAGGCTGGAACCCGAGCAGATGTCGAGATCGGGATGACTGGCTAGTTATTCAGTCTATGGACCAGCAGTGTTTACAGATCTGGCTACCCTAGTCAGGTAGACGGTCAGATTGTGGAAAAACAAATACGTACAAACACCAGTGACAAAGCTGACGTGACCATGTGCAAATGTGCCCGTGTTCATCCAGCAGGGAATGGGTGCTACAGATGGGAAATGGACTGAACTAGTCTAGCACCCCTGGGCAGCTGGGGTTGTTTACGCCCCATGAAGTTGAGAATGATAACTGAAAAGCATGTACATCCGCTGGTCGGGGATCAAATAGCCGGATTTCTTCTAAACATTCTACAAGCACCTGAATAAGTACAGCAGTATATTAATAATACAACCAGATATATGTAGATAGAACTTGTCTTGACACAACAGCTAGGTCCTTCATAATCCTAGTTCAATGTATTTGGTGTTTCCAGCCTGCTTTTCATCAAGATGTATTCCAATGTCGACCGTGTTGATGGAGAGAGATGTCCAGGATACAAGTGTCCGTATATCATCATCACTAGAACCGGTGGCAGTAACAGCCTTGCAGACTGCTTTCACGACGCATACGATGGAACCTACAACCAGCCTGAAGATGTACGTTATGCCACAGCTCTGTAGTGGAACATTTGGCCATACCAGCCTTTAACAGCAAATAGATATGCACTGTGGCATCTTAACGTAATGTGTGTATCTATTAACGAAAAAGTTAGTAATTACACAATAGAAAGCTGATTGTTATGTGCATCATATCAGAATCACTGCCTATTTGAGGTACACATTTGACTCACTGTTGCATGTGTGTAGGTGATCACTCCAGAACACTCTATATCTGAGTGAATGTAATGCCATATCTTGGATTGGGTTTCACACATTCGACATGCATCACATTCGGTACATCCTTGGTGCTTCAATCCAGGCATGTTATAATGTTGAATGATTTGGGTTTGTACATGTTGCAGGATGCAGTGAATATTCCCAAAGCTAAACCTTGTGTTACGACTAAGTCAAAGGTGAGTTCTATTGTTGGCAACTGTCCCCATCAGGCCATATCTCTACAGTTAATGTGATAACACTTCGTGAGTTCATGTGGCTTACTCGAGTAACCACATTTTCGTTTACAAATATGAACGAGTGAAAAACATTGGTTTTTTTTTTTGTAATTCGTCATATCTTGTTTAACCTAGGAACCTGACATCCAGGGCTTTGGTGCCGAGGTGGAGTCCAACTTCTTCAGTGCTGCACCTTCTACACCAGTGTGTCCAGCTGATCCTGTACATAAAGGTAACTTAGTCTACCTTTCTTCATCGAGTCCCTCTGATCCTGTACATTAAGGTAACTACTTTTCTCCAGTGTGTCCCCCCGATCCTGTACATAAGGTAACTACCCTCCTCCAGTGTGTCACTCCGATTCTGTACATAAAGTAACTACCCTCCTCCAGTGTGTCACTCCGATCCTGTACATAAGGTAACTACCCTCCTCCAGTGTGTCACTCCGATCCTGTACATAAGGTAACTACCCTCCTCCAGTGTGTCCCTCTGATCCTGTACCCTAAGGTAACTACCTCCTCCTCAGTGTGTCCCTCCGATCCTGTACATAAGGTAACTACCCTCCTCCAGTGTGTCCCTCCGATCCTGTACATAAGGTAACTACCCTCCTCCAGTGTGTCCCTCTGATCCTGTACATAAAGTAACTACCCTCCTCCAGTGTGTCCCTCCGATCCTGTACATAAAGTAACTACCCTCCTCCAGTGTGTCCCTCCGATCCTGTACATAAGGTAACTACCCCCCTCAATTGTCACTCCGATCCTGTACATAAGGTAACTACCCTCCTCCAGTGTGTCCCTCCGATCCTGTACATAAGGTAACTACCCTCCTCCAGTGTGCTCCTCTGATCAAAGTGTTAGAAGTCGAGTGTCCATAACTACTTTTCTCCATCGAGTCCCTCTGACCCTATACATTAACGGAACTACTTTCTTCAGCGAGTCCCTCTGATCCTGTACATAAGGTAAATACCTTTCTCAAGTGTGTCCCTCTGATCAAAGTGTTAGAAGTCGAGTGTCCATCATATGTTACACCACGTTTTGGAAGCATAAATAATGTGTACATACCAAATGTATACCTTTCCTGCTACTTGTTGTTGTCTTTCTTCCTCGCCCAGGTCGAACTAAACCCGAGCTGAAGGGCTGTTTCAAAGACTCCTCAACCTACAGAGATATCCCCTATGCTTTTATCGAGCTACCAATGTCCATGACGGTGGACACCTGTGTTGAAAGGTTTGCACAAACCTAATGTATTGAAATTGACATTTAGTGATGAAGGTCATAAAGGCCAGGGTAGCGCAGTTCACAGAGGTTTACCAGTTTGGTGAAACCCAAGAGCATGGGTTTTGTGCTGCCAAACCAAATGATCAAAATCGAAGTACAAATCGATACGAAACTGGGGTTTGAACCGGCGATCAGCGGATCTTGCCAAGAGAACAACATCTCATGAATCAACTGAGCCAATGTATTTCATATCACAAACGGAACATGTCTGATATTTGGATAGCTAGCTGTATATGTCATACTGGGTGTTAGCGAACTGGAACACTAACACGGTTATTGTAACATTCATGGCGTAAATGATCGGTCAAACACATTTTTTTTTACACAAAACATAAAGTAAAGTATATCGTTCCAGATGCTACAACCGGGGTTACATCTACGCTGCTCTGCAGGGCGGTACGGAGTGCAGATGTGGTAATATGTATGGAGGCTTTGGAACCAGCACCATGTGCTCCAAACCCTGTTCAGGCAACACAACCGTCAACTGTGGAGGTTCCCTGGCTAATGCTGTCTACACCACCGGCAACAGTTAGTAGTTAAATGTCCTGTGGCTGAGGGTTTCAGTTCAATTCGTGTTGTGTTCGTGTCTTTAAATAGCATATCAAAATAATTTCGAAAATAGAATTGTCAGTGTATTTTGCACTTTGTTTTGTAATATATTGAATCAATGAAAGGCAATATTTGTCTTTGATCTTCGCAGCTACATTGCCAGCCAGAATCACGTGCGGGCCTGGAGACAACGGCGCAGTGATTGACGGGAAGTGTTATTACCTCACTTCCGGTAGATACTCTTACGTTGAAGCTCAAAGGCAGTGTGTTCTACATGGTGGTGAGCTTGCGACCATCATGTCGGACACTGTCCAGGTAGGAAGCCCATGTCTCGACTTATGTAGCGAGAGAGTGATGATATAAATTGCCTCTTTTCTGTATTTAATATCGCGTGGTTTATGTAACAATTTGAGAGGGGTGTTTGGCAGGGTAAATACCAACGAATTAAAGTTTTACCAGGCTACGGTAACAGCAAATCTAAAATATAAATAGAGTCCTATCAAAGATTCCGATTATATTGTTAGTACGTGTTTACACACACACACACACACACACACACACACACACACACACACACACGCACGCACGCACGCACGCACGCACGCACGCACACACACACACACACACATGCATCAGGAGTTAAGCTGTTTCTTCTCAGTGAGCTCACGGCTCTGGAATGCACTGATTTCGGATACACCTAGAATTTAGATTTGATCTCACTCTTAGAACACCTTTGAACAAACTATGAGATCCTCCTCACCACGCATCACACACATGCATCCACAGACAGGTAATACAACCAGTTAACTGGACACAGGCTATATATAAAGGGGGATACACACCGCACGTCTACTATTATCTGTGTGGAGCAGGAACATTCTGTTCAGGTCTCTATGTATGTCGTCCATTGTTCCTACATGGACTGGATCTTGGGCTTCGACGATGCCCAGTGTTTCCCCATAGTAATGGTCGTGTTCATTTCAGTCTCAGGTTGAATGCTACATGAGACCATATAAGGCTGACGCCTGGTTTGGTCTGAACGACGTTGTCAATGACGGCACTTACACCTTCGTCGATGGTACACCCTTAGGCAGCTACAGCAACTTTATTCTAAACCAAGGATTGTCTTCAGAGCGTGACTTTGGAGGTTGGTATAGTCTGTACAAATGTTAGAGAACACATGTGACAAACTGCACAACTGACAAAAAGAAAACAACGGGCTATTTCTGTACCACTAAACGTTTTTGTTCATATAATGAGCTGCTACGACATCTGATTTCTATTTTACGTATCCACGTATCCAGTTTCCGGTACAGGATTATAAGGGATAAGTTAAACCTTTTCTGTGACAATGCCCTGAAGCAATGTTTCTCTTTCAGTGCTGACTGCACGTAGCCTTTACCGTTGGGACGTCAGGGAAGACGCGACTCACCCGGCTTTGTGCCAACTGCCTATGCCGGTCGCAGTACCAGGTATGAGCACATACAAGGTTACAGTATGCAATGCACGACACACGACACAGTTGTTGAGTTGCCCAGATGTCTTGCAAGCTTCCTATATGCATGTACGTCAGTTCATAATATGCAGAATTCATCTGGAGAGTTTATAAGGAGCAAATAATTTTTCAAAAAGTTCAGTTCCTGTTAACAAGTAAATGTTTCCGTTTCAGTCCGTTGTGGTCAGAATAATTACGGTCAGCGACTGGAAGGCGGCGGCTGTTACCTTGTTATCGACACAGCCGTTGACTACATCACAGCCCGTTACGCCTGTCACACTAGACGGGGGACACTGGCGGATGTCTCGACTCCCCGCAAGTTGGTGTGTACAACACAAGCCATGTCTGTCTATACATTATACTGTTTGCCATGTCTGTCGGTACCGTGGAGCTACATTTCACGTACAGCCTTATACTGAAGCTACTTGTCATGAATAGCGCTAAACTGTAGCTACAGGTCACGTATAGCCCTATATTGTAGCTACTTGTCACGTATAGTGCTATATTGTAGCTACTTGTCACGTATAGTGCTATATCGTAGCTACTTGTCACGTATAGTGCTATATCGTAGCTACTTGTCACGTATAGCCCTATATTGTAGCTACTTTGTCATGAATAAAACTAAACTGTAGCTACTTGTCACGTATAGTGCTATATTGTAGCTACTTGTCACGTATAGTGCTATATCGTAGCTACTTGTCACGTATAGCCCTATATTGTAGCTACTTTGTCATGAATAACACTAAACTGTAGCTACTTGTCACGTATAGTGCTATATTGTAGCTACTTGTCACGTATAGTGCTATATCGTAGCTACTTGTCGCGTATAGCCCTATATTGTAGCTACTTTGTCATGAATAACACTAAACTGTAGCTACTTGTCACGTATAGCCCTATATTGTAGCTACTTTGTCACGTATAGCCCTATATTGTAGCTACTTGTCATGAATAACGCTTAACTGTAGCTACTTGTCACGCATCGCCCTATATTTTAGCTACTTGTCACGTATAGTGCTATATCGTAGCTACTTGTCATGTATAGCCCTATATTGTAGCTACTTGTCATGAATAGCGCTAAACTGTAGCTATTTGTCACGTATAGCCCTATATTGTAGCTACTTTGTCACGTATAGCCCTATATTGTAGCTACTTTGTCATGAATAACGCTTAACTGTAGCTACTTGTCACGTATAGCCCTATATTGTAGCTACTTTGTCACGTATAGCCTTATATTGTAGCTACTTGTCACGTATAAACCTATATTGTAGCTAACCGGTTTCGGTTTGAAACCAAAAAATAACAAAAATACGCCATTTTGTCAATTTAATGCATGTAAGAAGTGGGTAATAAATAAAATACCACACTCGGTCTCATTACATACGAATTATACGAAGCTCGTGACCTCCCTATGTTTTCTGACCTCGCTTTCGCTCGGTCAGATACCATAGGAAGGACACTCGTTTCGTATAACTCGTATGTAATGAGACCTCGTGTAGTATTCTCTATTTATTACCCACGTGGTGAACGCATGGCTAGTTGCATACTAATCTCGTACGTCACACAAGTGTCGTATCGTGTTGACCTATGTCGTTACGACTTGACCTGAGACTGATTTGATTGGATAACCGATGACCTCTCAATTAGGTCACATTCTGATGTAACTATTTTTTCATTCATAACAAACACGTGAATTCATTCATTCTACAACTTAAATGCATTGTGGGAATGTAAACATTGCGAACGTTGCCGTGTCGCTGATTTATTGTGAGTCGAACTGAGACATTATATCCGTCGAAAAACATAAATGCAATGTTTCCACCAGTGATGTTAGCCGAATGAAGCAACTGCAAACCAAGAAACGGGGTGCTACGGAGTAGTTTACTGTAGGAGGCTGTACGAGGCGATGACAACTGACATGCATCCTGACGTCGGTTACCAAGACAATGACGTCATTACAGTGTGACGTCATGCAAATATTGTACTACAGTAGAAAACACTTCCGCAACCTCTTTATGAAACTGGTTTCGGTTTGAAACCAAAAAATAACAAAAATACGCTATTTGGTCAATTTAATGCATGTAAGACGTGGGTAATAAATAAAATACGTGACCTTCCTATGTTATCTATACCATAGGAAGGACACTCGTTTCGTATAATTCGTATGCAATGAGACCTCGTGTAGTATTCTCTATATATTGTAGCTACTTGTCATGAATAGCGCTAAACTGTAGCTACAGGTCATGCATAGCGTTTGTAGATACTTGTAAAGCTACCTAACCAAAACCTTTTCACCTTTGGTTCTTCTGTCGGATGCTATTAACCAAGGAACAATCATCGTTCCTCTCGTGGATTCCTCACCACTGTTTCTGTATCCTTCCTTTCTCGGATTAAGTAACCCTACAGTGTCCTCGTTTCTTGCCTGGATTCCATAAACCTGTAACAACCTTATTCCTCTCACGGCTACCATAATCCTGTAATTAGGTTTCATACCACAATACCTCCTCCTCTTTCAAACCCTCGGATTCCATAATAGTTTCCCTCCTCTCACCAACTTCATATACCTGTAGCTTTCTCGTTTCTCGACCAGATTCCATCATCCTTTACCAACTCGCTTCCTCTCTCAGATCATGTACCCTCATCCTCTGTCGGATTTACATCTGTAAACTTCTCGTTCCTCCACCAGACTGCACACCCTTTGAGGACCAGAAATCACTACGGAATTAAGTTCAATGCAAGTAAGCTCACACATAGACAGTCTGCATATAACAACAAATCTGAACGTGTGGGTGTCATTTACAGGCAGCAGTGACGGAACACATCTTCAGGTTTGGTCGGACGATGAACTACTGGATAGCTGAAGAACATGGTGACATTATTGGTAAGTTGATGTGTATTTCGTACTCAGTGAAACAAACGGCTGTTCTGGTGGTGTCTGTGTTGGTGGCTTGTCAGGTGTTCTGTTCCTTCTCTGATGTTCACTTGTATCGAGTGTTCAGGCAGCAACGGTAATTGTGCTCGGTCAGTCAAGACATCTCGGTCTCATATACTGACAACCAACAGTTATCTTACATTGTAAACAACCCGTGAAGATCCGGGTTAGAATTGATCTTCAGTAACCCATGCTTGTCGTAAGAGGCGACTAAAGGGAACGGGGGGTCAGGCTCGCTGACTTGGTTGACACATGTCATTAGTTTCCAAATGCGTAGATCGATCCTCATGATGTTGATCACTGGATTGTCTGGTCCAGACTCGATTATTTACAGACCGCCGCCATATAGCTGGAATATTGCTGAGTGCGGCGTAAAACTAAACTCACTCATTCACTCTCTCACTTACATTGTAAACTGTTGTATTTGGTGTGCTGTTAAAATCGGCTCATACAACTGAGATATCCGTGCTTGTACAGTTGTACACTCACACTCCCCATATACTGTGTTGTTAACCCATATACTCATTCACTCACTCACTTCAGATTTGGACCACGCTTTGATTTACAGTAAGAAGAAGGCGAACAAAGAAACCAAGAACGGCGTCGTGTGCAGCATTGGTAAGCTTGTACCTGCACTATCGTATTGCTGTAATGACTGTATGATCTAATGCTTCTATACCCCGTCACTTGACGTGCTGATTGTACGTACTCCTTACTTTCCAGAAACCCTGTCTTCTACAAGACCATGTTCAACTGGTAAGTTCTTGAGGACAAGCCGCTACCACATTCAGCCTAGTCAGGAATTCATAGTCTTATTATCAAAGGTAGGGGTAGTCTGAAGATTGATTCAGATCACTCTCTTGGATGACAATTACAACAACAAGTCGATGGGTCTTGAACATTCTTGGAACAAATAATGTGCGTTTAGATGTTGGTAGTTGTTGTAATGGTTGCACCTTCAACAGCTGTTGCATATATGGCACACGAGATCAATGCGTTTCCCAAATCTGTAATAGGAAAGCGTGTTTCACCTGTGTCTTTCAGACTGGCTCCACAAAGACGGCAACTGCTACCTGAACAGCGGGGACCGCGGCAACTACGACAAAGCCAAGTTGTTCTGCAATCAGTGAGCATATCCTCGATTGTTATTGTGTCGCAATATCTGTAACCAGTAAGTGTAGTGACCATCGGTAGTATGTAGCAATATCTGTAACCAGTGTGTGTAGTGACATCGTTAGTATGTAGCAATATCTGTAACACGTGTGTGTAGTGACATCGTTAGTCTGTAGGAATATCTGTAAACAAGTATCCGCCGTAGCAGGACCATACCGTAGACGTTTCAGGCTGTCGACTACTATGTTGTTGTAGGTGTTGGTTGTTGTTGTGTGTTGGCGGATATTCCTCAAAGTGACAACACAAGTCCGTCTGCGGGTCCACAACGTTTTATTGTGAGCTGTGTTTAACTAGGAGCTTAGTGCTCAGCTCCCAGTTCCAAACTAACTAACCAACGCTCATTAATTTGACTATATCTCAGATCTGATAATCTGTCTTCCTAAAATGGTATTATGGCAAGACCATGTGGAACCTCGTCCACAACCCACATGCCTCTCGTGCAGTGGTCATCAGGATCATCCTACTCTTGACCTAATAAGACCATAGCAGAAAGCCACAGTCTCAGAATTTCAAGAGTATGTTTAAATCATGCACCCATTATCAGGCCAGCGGCCAAACAGCTGACCAGTACATGCCTGACCTGTGACCTCGTTACATCCCCCATGCGGTGTTGGCTAAGGGAGAGGGGGAGACTATCGGTGTTACGACCCAGCCGGGAATTCGCCCGGCGCACACTGCGCGGCGCACACCGTACAGTGTATGTGGTATACAGTATATTGCACTTGATATACTGTATACTGCATGTGACATACGATCCTATCGTGACAAAGGACGTGTCCTCACATCCTTACTGAGGGTTGTGAATGAGGTACCATGGTTTGCCGATATACCACATCAAAATGAATCATACATAAAAATAATCTAATGGTAAAGCAGACATTATTAGAAATGGACATGGATTTATATTCAGATTAAATGTAATGTACAATGTTTTGCCGTGGACCACTTTTTTTTCATTAATAACATATAACACACTAAGGACGTTGACTTACATACATAAACAGCCAAGATATACAGTCTTTCAAATAAATATATACATATTTATCTGTTAATGCTGGTTTTACAACTATTGGGTACCGCTAGCGAGGAAAATGACAAATGTTGAGTGTATGTGGTATACAGTATATTGCACTTGATATACTGTATACTGCATGTGACACAAGTGTATGTAGTGACCATCGTCAGCATGTAGCAATATCAGTAACACGTGTGTGTAGTGACCATCGTTAGTCTGTAGCAATATCTGTAACACGTGTGTGTAGTGACCATCGTTAGTATGTAGCAATATCTGTAGCAATATCTGTAAACAATATCTGTGTAACACGTGTAGTGACCATCGTCAGCTTGTAGCAATATCAGTAACAGTGACGTATGTGTATCTGTAGTAGTGACCATCGTTAGTATGTATGTAGCAATATCTGTAACACAATGTAACACGTGTAGTGACCATCGTTAGTATGTAGCAATATCTGTAACCATCGTTAGTGTGCAACCATCGTCGAAGCATGTAGTAGTGACCATCGTTCAGCATGTAGCAATATCAGTAACACGTGTGTAGTGACCATCGTTAGTATGTAGCAATATCTGTAACCACGTATGTGTAGTGACCATCGTTAGTCTGTAGCAAATATCTGTAACACGTGTGTAGTGACCATCGTTAGTTAGTGTAGCAATATCTGTAACACGTGTGTGTAGTGACCATCGTTAGTATGTAGCAATATCTGTAACACGTGTGTAGTGACCATCGTTAGTATGTAGCAATATCTGTAACCAGTGTGTGTAGTGACCATCGTTAGTGTGTAGCAATATCTGTAACCAGTGTGTGTAGTGACCATCGTTAGTGTGTAGCAATATCTATAACACGAGTGTGTGTAGTGACCATCGTTAGTATGTAGTAATATCTGTAACATTGTAGTGACCATCGTGTGTAGCAGTGTGTAGTGACCATCGTTAGTATGTAGCAATATCTGTAACCAGTGTGTAGTGACCATCGTTAGTGTGTAGCAATATCTGTAACCAGTGTGTGTAGTGACCATCGTTAGTGACCAATATCTGTAACCAGTGTGTGACCATCCTTAGTAGTGTCGTTGGTAGTGAGCAATATCTGTAACACATATGTAGCAATATCTGTAACAGTGTGTAGTGACCATCGTTAGTGTAGCAATATCTGTAACACGTGTGTAGTAGTGACCATCGTTGACCATCGTTAGTATGTAGCAATATCTGTAACACGTGTGTGTAGTGACCATCGTTAGTGTGTAGCAATATCTGTAACCAGTGTGTGTAGTGACCATCGTTAGTATGTAGCAATATCTGTAACACAGTGTGTGTAGTGACCATCGTTAGTATGTAGCAATATCTGTAACACGTGTGTGTAGTGACCATCGTTAGTATGTAGCAATATCTGTAACACAGTGTGTGTAGTGACCATCGTTAGTATGTAGCAATATCTGTAACACGTGTGTGTAGTGACCATCGTTAGTGTGTAGCAATATCTGTAACAATAGTAACCAGTGTGTAGTGACCATCGTTAGTATGTAGCAATATCTGTAACACGAGTGTGTGTAGTGACCATCGTTAGTATGTAGCAATATCTGTAACACGAGTGTGTAGTGACCATCGTTAGTATGTAGCAATATCTGTAACACGTGTGTGTAGTGACCATCGTTAGTGTGTAGCAATATCTGTAACCAGTGTGTGTAGTGACCATCCTTAGTATGTAGCAATATCTGTAACGAGAAAGTGTAGTGACCATCGTTAGTATGTAGCAATATCTGTAACCAGTGTGTGTAGTGACCATCGTTAGTATGTAGCAATATCTGTAACCAGTATGTGTAGTGACCATCGTTAGTATGTAGCAATATCTGTAACCAGTGTGTGTAGTGACCATCGTTAGTATGTAGCAATATCTGTAACCACATCAGTGTGTGTGTGTAGTGACCATCGTTAGTGTGTAGCAATATCTGTAACCAGTGTGTGTAGTGACCATCGTTAGTATAGCAATATCTGTATCTGCAACATCCATCGTTAACAATATCTGTAACCAGTGTGTGTAGTGACCATCGTTAGTGTGTAGCAATATCTGTAACCAGTGTGTGTAGTGACCATCGTTAGTGTGTAGCAATATCTGTAACCAGTGTGTGTAGTGACCATCGTTAGTGAGTGTGTAGCAATATCTGTAACCAATGTAGTGACCATTGTTAGTGTGTAGCAATATCTGTAACCAGTATGTAGTGACCATCGTTAGTGCATGTAGCAATATCTGCATCTGTAGTGTGACCATCGTTAGTATGTAGCAATATCTGTAACACGTGTGTAGTGACCATCGTTAGTAGTGACCATCGTTAGCAATATCTGTAACCAGTGTGTGTAGTGACCATCGTTAGTGTGTAGCAATATCTGTAACCAGTGTGTGTAGTGACCATCGTTAGTGTGTAGCAATATCTGTAACACGTGTGTGTAGTGACCATCGTTAGTATGTAGCAATATCTGTAACCAGTCTGTGTAGTGACCATCGTTAGTATGTAGCAATATCTGTAACACATGTGTGTAGTTACCATCGTTAGTATGTAGCAATATCTGTGGGTGTTTGTGATGATTGTTTCCAGCGACGTTGTCAGTGTTGTATATACTGTGTTGACTGAGTGTGTCTGTGATGATTGTTTCCAGCGGGGTTGTCAGTGTTGTATAAACTGTGTTGACTGAGGGTGTTTTTGATGATTGTTTCCAGCGAGGTTGTCAGTGTTGTATACACTGTGTTGCCTGAGGGTGTTTGTGATGATTGTTTCCAGCGAGGTTGTCAGTGTTGTATATACTGTGTTGACTGAGGGTATTTTTGATGATTGTTTCCAGCGAGGTTGTCAGTTTTGTATATACTGTGTTGACTGAGTGTGTTTGTGATGATTGTGTCCAACGAGGCTGTCAGTGTTGTATATACTGTGTTGACTGAGGGTGTTTGTGATGATTGTTTCCAGCGAGGTTGTCAGTTTTGTATATACTGTGTTGACTGAGGGTATTTTTGATGATTGTTTCCAGCGAGGTTGTCAGTTTTGTATATACTGTGTTGACTGAGTGTGTTTGTGATGATTGTGTCCAACGAGGCTGTCAGTGTTGTATATACTGTGTTGACTGAGGGTGTTTGTGATGATTGTTTCCAGCGAGGTTATCAGTGTTGTATATACTGTGTTGACTGAGGGTGTTTGTGATGATTGTTTCCAGCGAGGTTGTCAGTGTTGTATATACTGTGTTGACTGAGGGTATTTTTGATGATTGTTTCCAGCGAGGTTGTCAGTGTTGTATATACTGTGTTGACTAAGGGTGTTTTTGATGATTGTTTCCAGCGAGGTTGTCAGTGTTGTATATACTGTGTTGACTGAGGGTGTTTTTGATGATTGTTTCCAGCGAGGTTGTCAGTGTTGTATATACTGTGTTGACTGAGGGTGTTTGTGATGATTGTTTCCAGCGAAGTTGTCAGTGTTGTATATACTGTGTTACAGAGGCGACAGCATGGTTGTCACGGTTCTCAGTGACCATGAAAACTCCTTCGTCGCAGACACCGTGAAGACAAAGACACTCGGTCCCAGTGTCTATATTGGTGAGTAGACTTGCTCAGAAATGCTTTGACACATTTCCGATGTGCTGCCAATGTCCCCTTTTCCTTTGATACTGGGGTACTGGGTGTTTCGTTATATATGAACGTCAACGTAATACACCTGTTGATTGGATATTTACTGTGGTCAGTCCCTGAACCGCGTTATTGTCCCTTCTGTATAGCGCTGTTTGCAACGTTAAAGCCCTAAATGGAGCAAGTCTAGATTTCCTCAGGTTCCGAATCTTCCTTCTCACAGGGTCTCCTTTCCAATTAAAAAGGAATTGATTGTTTCTATCAAAATTATATATATTCAGACGCTAAGCGTTAGTCTTGTAGGATATTGTACAGGCGGTATTCCCATACATGTGTACACATGTTGAACACGTGGCAGTAACGTATACAGGTTGTACAGGTGGTCAGTAAGTACACAAGCTATAAATCGTGTACTCTATACCTGTACACTATACCTGTGAGCACAAACTCACAACAGATATATGTCAGCTACAGCAAGTCTCCTTGTCTGTACCCAGCTCCAGGACACGTGGACAACAAGGCCACCAGTGACGACGACGGGTCTTCATCAGCCTACACCAACTGGGACAACAAGCGGGGCAAGGGTAAAGGAAGCTGCGTTCTACTGGCATCTCACAACTCGAAATGGCGGAACACCAAGTGTAGCAGGATCGCAGCCATCATGTGTAAAGCCCGGGCTGTGTCATGAGACACGCTGTGGCGGAAGTCCGTCGAGATATCTGCAGATTGAAGGGGTGCATGGGATCTTTTGGTTTTATTTTATCAAGTCAATTAGACAGGGTTTTGTTTTCAAACGGTTTTAATTTCAGAAATAGATGTTAGTGTAGACCCTCCATTTTCGTCATGGTCAATTTGTAGACTTCCTCACCACAGTATGTCACTTCATTACTAGCATGAGAGCAGCACACGTGTGTATCCGAGGTTCTATGTTTTGTGGTGTTATATATTTATGCATTATGTACTGTAAATAATGTGTTTATTTTATGTGATGGACTCGTGCAATACTAGAGTGAGGGAATGGGTGAGTTTAGTTGTACGCCGCACTCAGCAATATTCCAGCTATATGGCGGCGGTCTGTAAATAATCGAGTCTGGACCAGACAATTCAGTGATCAACAGCATGAGCATCGATCTACACAATTGGGATACGATGACACGTGTCAAACCAAGTCAGCGAGCCTGACGACCCGATCCCCTTAGTCGCCTCTTACGTCAAGTATGGGTTACTGCAGATCAATTCCAACCCGGATCTTCACGGATATGCAATACTAGAAGTAATAATAATAATAATAATAATAATTGCATTTATATAGCGCATCATTCACTAATAAATGCTCTGTGCGCTTAAGATGGAAATTGACACTTGAAAAGAAATGTTTTGAGGCCAGTCTTAAAAGATGTTAGTGACTCGCTGGTTTTGAGTTCAAGCGGTAGCGCGTTCAACTTCATTGCTGCATTGAAAGCGAACGACCTTTTGCCAAAGTTGGTTTTGATGTTAGGCACTGTCACTAGCATTTGGTTTTGTGATCTCAGTGAGCGTGAGGGCTGATACAGGGGCAGTAACTCTGCGAGGTAGTCAGGGGCCATTCCGTTGAGACACTTGTACGTCATTACAATAGTTTTGTAGTCAATTCTTCCGGTGATTGGTAGCCAGTGTAAATCATTTAGAATTGGAGTAATGTGATCGAAGACTTTAGACTTTGTAATGATTCTTGCAGCAGTGTTTTGGAGGGCTTGAAGGCGACGTAGCTGATCTTTGTTGACGTTGGTGAGGAGGCTGTTGCAGTAATCTACTCGGGACATGACCAGAGATAGGACAAGTTTTGAAGTAGCATCAGCACTCAGATAGTTGCGGAGTCTTCCAATGTTCCTGAGATGCATATGGGCCGTGCTAATGATGTTGGAGATCTGCTTGTCCATTTTCAGACTTTCATCGAGAATAACCCCTAGATTCTTGACCTTCGGGGTTGGAGTTATGGCAGTATTCCCTATTTGGAGAGATGGCTTGTCAAGTTTGGAAAGTGTTGTTTTCGACCCAATAAGCAGGAATTCTGTTTTACTTTCATTAAGTTTCAGTAGGTTTTTAGTCATCCATGTCTGAATGTCATTGCAGGAATCAGAAAGGGTGTCCAACGATGGCAGGGCTTCTGTGGTAGGGAATGAAGAATAGATTTGATTGTCATCTGCATATTGATGTTGGTTGACTTTGTGCTTGTCTGCTATTCTTCCCAGTGGTGTAGTGTACACAGAGAACAGCACTGGTCCTAGCACGGAACCTTGTGGGACGCCACTCCTGAGATCTGTGGGACATGATGTTTTGCTCTCAATCTTAACCACTTGAGATCGATCTGATAGGTAAGATTGGAACCATGAAAGAGCAGTACCCCCTGACTTTCAGGTCACTTTCCATTCTTGACAACAACATGTGATGGTCAATAGTGTCGAAGGCTGCCGAAAGATCTAGAAGAACCAGTGCTGATACATTTCCTTTGTCTGCTTCTGTTAGAATGTCATTGGTGACTTTTATGAGTGCTGTTTCAGTGGAATGGTTTGGTCGATATGCAGATTGATGTTTGTCAAGCAGCTTGTGTTTCTTCAGATGTTCAGAGAGGCGGGTACAAACAGCCTTCTCTAACACCTTCGAGACGAACGGAAGATTAGATACTTTTCTTCAGAAGGGGTCTCACCAGAGCTTGTTTAAAAGATTTAGGGAACTCGCCTGATGATATTGAGAGATTGATGATGTTGGTTATTGGAAGTACTAAAACCTCCAGGCATGATTTCACAAATTGAGTTGGTATAGGATCGAGCTCACAACTCTTGTCTGGCAGAAGCTTAATGATCTTTTCGATTTCATCGGTTGAGAAAGGTTGTATTTCATCAAAATAGCCCGAGGTAGCTGAAGTTGACTCGTCACACTGGTCACCTGGAGTGGATGTGTTGTCATCTAGCGTTGAAGCCGAAGTTACTAGCTTGCTGTGAATTCTCTCGATCTTCTCTCTGAAGTATTGTGCAAAGTTCGCAGCAGCTTCTTGAGGAGATTGGTCCTCGGGCAGATTGGTATCACTGGATTTGTTACACAGTTTGGAGACGAGTCGATGGAGCTGTTTAGAGTTGGCCTCTGCATCCAGCACCTTAGTGTTAAGGTACTCGGTCTTAGCCTGTCTGATGGAACAATTCACCTTGTTCCTCTGTGAAACGTACATCTGGCGGTGTATTTCCAAGCCTGTTCTTTGCCATTGCTTTTCTAGCTTCCTCCTGTTGGTTTTGAGCTTGGTTTCACGGATATAATCTTGGTTCTAAGAGGGGCGTGTTTGTCTAGAAGCTCTGATAGAACTCTGTTGTATAGATCTGCAAGTTCTGTGGCAGTCTTCGGTTTCACCTTGTAGAGAGGAGAGTTCCCAATATCTGTTTTAAGCTTGTCAATGTCCATATTGCGAAAGTTTCGACATGTTTTCGTTATTTTCTGTCTTGTTGGTCTTTCCTTGTTGAAAGAGAGAAACACAGGGAAGTGGTCTGACATTTGTAGGTCTTCAACAGTCACTTTTTGAATAAGTTCTTTGTTTGTGTCTCTGACGATTACCCAGTCTAGAATATGTCCACATTTGTGGGTTGGCGCTGGCACAATTTGGACAAGTCCAATTGAGTCCAGGAATGTGACAATTTTTTCTCTGTCAGGTTTTAATGGGTCATCGAAATGGATATTCATGTCACCGAGAATGGTAATTTCACCTGTTTTGCTGCTCTGAAGTTGAACAAAATTTTCAAAGTCATCTTGAAATTTGGAGGCTGAAAGTTTATTTTTAGCTGACGGTGGGGGTCTGTACACACAGATGATATGCAGGTTATTGCTCTGTTCCAAAACCGTTTCCAGAAATTCGAAAGACGGAATGTTCATCATCTGTGGGTTAACTTTTAACTTTATGTGTGATTTGTAGACTACTGTGATTCCTCCGCCCATGTGATCAGATTGCCTAGGTTTGTTGATTAAAGTGTAGCCAGTTGGTGTTAATTCTGCTTTGATGACGTCATCACCCTTATCCCTTATCCAAGATTCTGTGATATAAAGAATGTCTAAATCTCTATCATGTAAAAAGTCACAGATATCAGTTGTTTTATTTCGAGCACTCCTTGCATTCCAAACACACACTGTCAGGAAACTTTCTTTTGAATTAGTGACGGATTTAGTTTGAGGTATTTTGTGAATTGACTTCCCTGCTCGCTTGCCTCTCCTTGTCTTGTGTCTGTGTTTCCTTGTAATCAGCTGATTAACAAACACATTGAATTCTTCAATCCCAGGTTTGATTACACAACTTGTGTTGAGACAATGGGACCCAATCTCACAAAGCTTATCTCTTGAGTAGACAAGCGATGAGGTGGGGTAGCTGTTAAAACCAGTCTTTTGTTCTCTGTGACTGGGCATTGTTATTGTCACTGTCAGCTTACATGCACTCACTGAAGTTAGTCCACTGTTTACATATAATTGAAGCAAATAAATCCAAATGAATATCATGATTCTTGTTCTTCAATCTTCATAAAAGTCATATTGAATTGTACATGTGATGTCGAAATAACTGATTATTCAGTCAACATATATATAGTATGACCAGGAATTATTGAGAATTTTAGGAATATGTTTAATTGGATTTCTAGTCTAAACAACCTTGACCAGCTATCAAGTGCTTGGTTTCATTCAAGAGAGACAACTCCGTTAATCATTTTTCATTAGTTTGTGAAGAGGTATCCCCCTTTGCTTACTTGCTAGCAGACGACATTTTCAGTAATCCTCAGTATGGATGATTTAGAGAAGAGGAAGTTGATTTTAGAGTATTATAACAAGGACATCAGATCAGCTAAAGTGATTTCAAGTAGAACAGGCATCCCTTTGTCCACTGTTTATCGTGTTTTGAAAAATATTGCAAATGGATATGGCATTGAACACCAGGGAGGCGCAGGTAGGCCCAGAAAATTGACTGTCGGTGACAGGAGACGGCTTGGTATTCTTGTTTCTAAAAACAAACGAAGGAGTTTAGAAAACTTAAGGCTGGATATGATTGGTAGAGGAACTTGTGGCTGTCTGTAAGGAGACAATTAGAACTGAGCTGCATGCAATGGGTTGGCAGAAAAGTCGAGGACTTCCATCACCGATCATGAAACCTGAACAAAAGGAGCGAAGGTTGAACTGGTGCTTACAGCATCGAAATTTTAACTGGGACAATGTGATTTTCTCAGATGAAAGTTCTGTGTGGCTGTTTCCTAGTACACTGAAATTCTGGACCAAACAAACTGAAAAACCTTTGTATCAGTGCCCAAAGTAAAGTCCGAAATTTAACGTGTGGGGTGGCGTATCTGTGTTAGGGACAACGCCCCTCTGTGTATTTGAAGGGAACATGAACAGTGAGCGGAACACAGATATTTTCGAGGGACATTTACTTCCATCTGCTCACGTGTTCTATGGAAAGTTTTGGATTTTCCAGCAGGACAACGACCTAAAACATCATTCAAAGCATTCACAGGCCTGGTTTCGGAACCAAAATATGACATTATTAGATTGGCCAAGCTATAGCCCTGACCTAAATCCAATAGAAAATGTTTGGGGACTTATGAAGGAAGGTGTCAATAAGAAAAATCTGACAAATATTGCTGAAATGAAAGAAGAGGTGGTCCGGTATTGGGACAGCATGGACCACGACTTTCTAACTTCTTTGATCAGTAGTATGCCCCGCCGCATTGAAGCCTGCATTGCTGCCCATGGTGACAAAATACTAACTGTTAACCTGTCTTTGAATCTGCTAATATTCACATTTAATACGTGATAAATGAGTGAAAAAAAAAATTACAATCTTAAAATTCTCAATAATTTCTGGTTCTACTATATATATATATATATATATATGGTGGGGCAAACGTTTGACTTCCCCTCTGCTGTAATGTTATTTGTACTTCAATGCTTTACTGGATGTTGTCCTCCATAACTTTAAAGTTTGTGATTCTGATTGTAACATTTGGTTTGAATAAATAGCGTTTCGTAAAAATCTGTATAAAATGTTGTAGTTGAAAAAGAACTAGTAGTTTCTACGGAGGTAGGTATTGT